CGGAGAAGAATACATATTTTTAATTTTTCCACCTCTTTGGTAAAAATGAAAATAAGAGAAGAAAGAAAAATATTTATGACCCATTCTAAATTTGATTTTCTCTAATTTGAATAGAAAAGGCTAAAAAATATAGAAAAATCAAATTTATAATTATATTTTTTTATAATTACATACATTAATATTATATACAAACAAAATTATATATCTTATTTTTTTAGAGTCATATATGCCATTTATAAATATACTTTTTTTTTAACAAACAAAAAAATAATAAAAATCAGAATAGCATGAATACTTTTTTTATTCATAAAAATTATAATTATAATCTAACAGTACATACTACTTTAATTCTTAATAGTAAGTTAACTCTTGTGTTTGATAGAATGGAAACTTTATTAGGATCTTCGTAATTTTGCCTATTAAAAAAAGAGTTGTGATAGAGGCATCTTGTAATTTAAAGTCTCGTGAGTGCTTGTATGTATGATGGTGAGCCTGCTATTATACTATATATTCCCATAATACTCCCATTGATGCTGAGAGAGTTGAGAGTGAAAGATAAAGATAGCCCATCGCAAATTCCACTCACATAATAACGCACCTTACCTTTGTTCTCTGTCACAAACACCCGTTGTAACGAAAACTGCCATTGTTTAGAGACCATAGCGTGGTTTTATTGAAACCACTGATCCTTTTCTCCTGAAACCAACAAACACATAAAAGTTAAAAAAACAAAACCACCGATTCCCAATCCCAAACACACGCTTCTTTATAAGAACCCACCAACCGGTTATTCCTACTACCACAAACCGCTCTCCGATTTCTCCCTTGTCTCTGCAACTCCATGCCAATTTTTCAGGGCTCATGATGGAAGCCTGAACTAGTGGGTAAATAAAAGTTAAAAAAAAAAAAAAAAAGAAGATAACCCCACTACACTAGTCATAAAAGGGGGAGGCTTTATGAATGATGATGAATTATGAATTATCATAATCATAGTTGCTTTTTAATTTACTTTGTTTGAAATTTTCCTTTTTACGTTTGGGGTGGTGAAATAGGGACCAGTTGTTTGGGTTTTACCCTGGGGGGTGTTTGGCCTTCTACTCGTAAGGCACTAATAATTCTGGCTGAAATAGGAGTCCTAGACATAAATGCAAAAGAAATTGAAAGGGGGAGATAAAGGTAGCCAAAAGAAGGAACAAAACTACAAACTCTTCTTTGTTCTGCTGTCTGATACATGCACGTCTGGTCCTTTGATCATGACCACTGAGCCTCTCTTCGCATGTCGTTTTTGAGCCCCATCGTGATTCTATTCTCAGAAACAGGAGTAGCCGAGAAAGCCGGGGAAAAAAGTTACCTTTCTTCCCTTTTATTCAAAACCTCTATTTTCTAAATCTCTTTCTCCACTGCTTTCAGATTGGAGGTTTAACATCACAAAGAGAGAGGCTCCTTTCTATTCATGGTTTCTGCCTTTCCTTAGAGTGACTGCAGCTTTTCCCTTTTCTTAACAAAATTTATAGCCTTGGTTTTCAACTTTTCATGTTGCATCCTCAAACTAATGGCAGTGTTTGGTTGGCAACCTTGTCCTTTCAGGTGATTCCTATACAATGTTTCTGTCACACACACACACACAAACAGTGTTATGAGCACTACAACAACTTAACAAAGTTCTAAACTTGCGGCATATTCCGTGTCTTGGTTTCAGGAAACATAAAAGCAAGCTATGGTGAGTAGTGAGAGAAACAAAACAAGGTCTGATGGCAGATTCTGGTTCCTCCGAAAAGCACAAGAAACCCGCTTCGTCTTTCTTCAGTTCTCCGAGGTTGTTCACCAATTTCACTCCCAAAGGCTTCCATGAAACCGAAACCATGATGAGCCCTACCTCCATACTCGACACCAAGCCTTTCTCAGGGTTCAAGAACCCTTTTTGGTCCGAAACTAACAGCCCCAGAACCCCGGGGGGTGAACACAAGCGTCACTGGGATAAATTGGATTCGAAAGGTGTTGGTCTTGGCCTCGTTGATGCTCTTGTTGACGAAGAAAAGCACGGTGGTGAAGTGAGTTCAAAACCGGAGACTCGAATGGTTCTGTTCGGATCCCAGCTTAAGATTCAGATTCCTCCACTGTCTCCTTCTGAATCGCCCAAATTCGTTGTTGAGAAGGGAAATTCTCAAATGGGTTCTTCCTCTTCTTCTGCGTCTGGGGGTGCTAATTCTCAGCGAGTTTTTATGGGGTGTCTCTCTGCAAGCGAAATGGAACTCTCTGAGGACTACACGCGCGTGATTTCGCACGGGCCGAACCCGAGAACCACTCACATATTCGATAATTGCATCATTGAGAGTAGCTGCTTTGAACTTGGGTGCTCTGCTTCTACTAAAGAGAATGGGTATTTGGTTGATCACGCCAGCTATCACTCTCGGAGCTTTCTCAGTGTCTGTTTTCACTGCAAAAGAAATCTTGGCCAGGGTAAAGACATCTACATGTATAGGTAATTATCGTTCTTTATCCCCCTCTGTGTTTGCAATACTTTGTTGTGTTCTTGGTTCTGGAAATAAGAATTTGATTTGCATGTTTAATTGAGATGCGAATCGACCGTAAAGTTTGCTCATTTATGTGCTGTAAAGTTGATTTAATATCTGGTTTACAAAGGGTACTGCTTTAACATGTTTCTGCAGGAAATTTAATTTGATGTCATAATATAAGGTTGACTGTGTCTGATTTCATTTTTGTCTTCTCTTATCCTTGAGGTTTTGGCAATAATTTCCAGTGGTTAATAACTATTTTCACCTACTAGCGTGCTTGCTGTTGCTCTGTTATAATTGATAGAATTATGTATTTAGAGTTTGATCCTCAAGTATATGTCCACAGAAAAAATATCTGTTAGATGGAGCTTCAATGAATATTCATTCCTACTTTAAAAGATTAATCTTTCATCTGGGGATATAGTGGGTATCCCAAAAAAAAAATAAAAGAATTGCCACCCCTCGTACTAAAACATCAAAATTTGGGAACCTGTGAATTCAAGTACTGTGAGCTAATAAAACTCTAGCCGTTTGCTATTTTAGTCAAACATACATGGTTTGTTTTGTTGTGAAGTATGATGATATGATGTGCTTCTTTAATTGTAATAAACGATGTCTATTACTCTATTGTTTGTACGTTAGGATTAAAAAAATCACAAAATCATGGTAATGAATCAAAGTGAAAGTATGCTCTAGTTTGTGTGATTTGAATCATTCCCGGAAAGAATTTCAATAAAACCAAAAAAGATCTTCAATCTAGTTGCATGGTGTTGTGACGCAGGGGTGAAAGGGCATTTTGCAGCAACGAATGCAGGTACCAGGGGATGCTGTTGGAAGAAGAGATGAGCAAATTGGAAGGCAACGATATTTATGGGCCTTAGTTTCATTCCTTTAGTCCCACCCTTCCACCCAAATCCATTCAATCTTTGCTTCAAAGGGCATAGAATAACATCACCACCTTCACCTTCACCTTCATTTTTCTAGGACACAAAATAGTCCTTGGAAATCCTGAATCCCTGTACCTGGTTTTTCTATTTCTGCTTCTGACCATCTCTGAGATAGCTGTGAAGAAGATGTGGAGAGGAATAGAAAGGCAGAGATGGTGTAGAGGTGATTTTTATTGAAATGATGAATTAGGGCATTGCTGTTGGGTTGGCCACAGTTTTGTAATGATACATGTGTATGACTTGAGCTTACATTATCTTTTGCTTATTTTGTTTATAATATAAAGTGTTCCACAGTAATAATAATAATACTATAATCACGCACATAGAACCAATGACATCATCTCAAGTAGAATCTTTTCTCTTTTCATATCGTTTGATTGTTTGTGCTTTTAGCATATTTACAGTACTTGATGATCGGAGCCGTTGTACTGGCCATTTTATTTAGATAATCCGTAGATTTGTGAATTGTTTGAGGGAATGAAGCACATGCTGCAAGTTTTACGAGGGAACAGTTTTCTGACTTGGTCAGAGGAATGATCAGAGCAATTAGATTAAGCACTTTGAGTAACAGCTAATGTAGTTGCCCTTGTCTATTTATTTACTTAAATATGTTTTTTCTTCTTTTTGGGAGTGGAGAAGAATGAAAGAAATAGAAGAGAATCGAAGATAATAGATTTGATAAAAGATAATAAAAATTTTGTAATTATTTGATAAAGTAAAATTATGTGAAGAATAGAAAGAAATTAATATTTTGAAAATATATTTTATATAGTTAAATTTTTATATAAAAATATATTATTTAAATAATTATATTTATATTTTTTATTATTTAGTTAGTTAGATAATAGTGTAGGAATAATTTTGTTCATGTATTTTCAGTGAAAAGTTTTACACAAACTCACTTTTAAGAGTATGAAATTAAATCCATATAAATTACTATATTATAGTTTTTTTTTTTTATAAATTCACTTAAATTATATATTTTAAACATTAATTTATTGATAATCTCTCATTTTCTTCTCTATTTCTTACTAATTCACTTCTTCAAAACAGACCATTTAAGGCTTTTAGTAAGCGAGTGATTTTTTCTTACTTCATGTACCGCTAATTATCATATTTATTCCTTACTTTCGCGTCGAAGACTTCTTTGGCTATTTTCTTCCGATGTAATTTAATATTATTAATAAAAACCCAAATTTGATCAAACAGAAAATAGATAGATTTCAAATTTTGTATCTTGTAGCGATACAGATAGCAAATGAATAATAAAGACAAATGGTAATAATTGAGGGGTTCTACTATAAAAAGTTGTTTTCTTCTCCCGATAGGAAGAGCACAAGAAGATTGGAGGGAATGAAACGGTTGATGTTTTCAAGTGGTAAAACTAATAATTTAATTAGTGCTTTAGTTTTATTTGAGTGAGCGTCTAATTTTATTAGAAAATTTATAGTTAATCATCTATATATTGTTAGTGTAAAGTTTTTTATACTGATAATCAATTATAAATTTTAATTGTGTCATGTCACTATAAACACATTTACTTTTAACAGTGACATGACACAATTAAAAGATATAATTAGTTGCCAGTGTAAAAAAACTTTACACTGACAGTGTATAAGTGATTAACTCGAAAATTTAATCCATCATATTTAGTAAGATCTTTTCTTAATAATATTCTTTTATTAGTATTTTAGGTTATGTAACGACTTGTTGGTAATTAATGTTTTAGATTACCAAATAGTTTGTTCACAATTGTTATTTACTATGTTGTCAATCTTATAATCCTCTTTGAAGAAGGCTTTTGACCATGAATAAATCCCACATCTTAAGATAAAGATAAGCAGCATCACTTTTTTCTCAAACCTTCTATATATGTACCTCAAACCTAAACACAATAGTTAACCTTACACACTGTCAAACCAGTTTTTTACTCTCCCTATCCTTTCAATTTTTATTAAACGAGAGTGACTAGGAAAAAATAAGTAATTCAAATATCATTCAATTATTTTTAGATTAAATTAAAAAATAAACCTTTACTATCTATCTAAATCTACTTAATTTGTAGTTATTGTATGTCAATTGAGAGAGAAAATACATACTAACATGTAAATTAATCGTTGATTAATCACAAAAATAATAGAGTTAGTAACTGAGTACACTAAAAAGACTAATTTGCATAATAGTTAAAATTTAGAGACTTGGATGTCATTAAAAAAAAAACTTCAAGCCTATAGTATGAGTTATTTGTCATAGAGTTAAAAATATAATATATATTTTAAATATAGCATTTATTTATATTTAATATAAATTTTAATTATATATAATAAATATTTGATTTGTAGAATACACAAATTAAAATATTAAAGAAAAATTATTTCTGATATGACTTTGAAAATGTTTATTATAAAAATCAATAAAATTACCTATCCTTAAACAACAGTATAATGTCAATGCATAATCTATTTTTCATTTTTAATACGAATATGAATGCGAAACAGGCATGTAGCAACCTGAAGTGGTATTGTGTTGTAGGTGAAATCCTGATTAGGCCCTTGATAATGAAATCAAACCCAATAATTGTTGGCGCATGAACTAGTTTGGATTTGAAAGTGCCATTCTGTAGGCCCAAAACATACCATTTCAAAAAGGCCTTGTAGAAGGCCCTATCCAAACACCACCGCACCACCCATCCGTGACTTATTCATTCACACGTCACACCTTACACGACGACACGACCATAGCTGCTACCCTGCTACCACTCTGAACACGATGACATGCTTCAATTTTGAACGATGACTTAATAAGGTCAATATTACCATAAAATAAATGAATTCTTTACATATTTTCTCCTTAATACCTTTTTTACCCTCTAAAGTTTCCAATTTTTCTCCCTCCCTCTCACGCCATACGCCGCGATTCCGCCGGAGAACGCATCGGAATCCGCCGGAAATGGAAATCTCCGGCACCGTTCCGAGGCCGAGTTCCTCTCTCCGACTCAACACCGATGATAGCGACCCTTTCTTGGATTCTCCTGTCGGTAAGCACCAAAATTGAAATTCCTCATTCACGGGACTTGCAACATTCTATTTTGTACTTTTTGCTGTAAGTAATTTTTATGTTGGTTGGTGGATGCAGTATTTCATGCAATTGGTTATGCTTAGTGATATACTAGTTAGATTGAGCTTGAATTTCAATTTTTAATTTCTCAAACTCATAAATGTATATTTAGATATGTTAAAATGCCACCGTTGTTGGATTTTGATTTTTGTGGCAGGTGCCGGAAAAGGGGATGCTTTAACAACTGAGGCAGATCTAGAGGCTTCTTCCTCCACTAAAACTGCTTCTAGAAAGCACAAATATCGCATGAGCAGCATCAAATTGTTTGGGGTAGATTTATCCCCTGATAATGTTGCTGTTGCGATGGTATATTTTGTTCAAGGTGTTTTAGGACTTGCAAGACTAGCTGTGAACTTTTACTTAAAAGATGATTTGCATTTGGATCCTGCTGAGGTATGTCTTCTTAACTCATGGTTTAATATGTACTTCACATTCACACACATCTTTTGAGTAATTTCATTTGAATTTTATAATTTTTTCTCATTTACTTAACCCAAGGTGTAAGCGGTTAAGTGTGAGCCTTTGCTTTTATCGAATGTGGAAACCAAAAGAGTGATAGTATTTCCCCGAAATTCTGATCCTTTTTCGTTTTGGATTGAATCAATTATGGAATGATTTTTGAAGGACTGACACGTTGCATGCATGGTATATTGACTAGGCAGCTGTGATTACTGGCCTTTCTGCATTACCGTGGCTTATCAAACCTCTGTATGGGTTTATTAGGTAAGTCTAAAACCTTATGTTCATTATTTTCTCATTTTTGTATGCCCCAAAGACTACGTTTTCATTATTGAAGTTATTAATATGGCTTGCAGTGATTCTGTACCCCTATTTGGTTATCGGAGAAGGTCATACCTAGTTTTATCAGGGCTTCTTGGTGCACTCTCATGGAGCTTGATGGCTACTTTTGTTGACAGCAAATATAGTGCTGGTTTTTGCATACTTCTAGGATCTCTCTCTGTTGCCTTCTCGGATGTTGTGAGTGTCTCCTACTAAGTAATTCACATACTTCTTCTCTAGAATCATTTAGTGTGTGTTTGGAACTAAATTTACAACGCGAATCATCACTCTCCACGTTTATGAGAAGCAATAAGAAATTGTTTCTGCATCAATTGAACCTGTTGACATGATTTTTATTGTTGATGTGATTTTGCTCCAAACATGCTGTTAATTACAAACGATGCTGCGTACACATCAACACCAAGCATATCACGTCACATCCATGTGAGGTTAGGTTACTGAAATAGAGTGTGAGTGAACAGAAAATGAGGTAGGATAATTTGTAGTCAAATGGTAAAAAGTAAAAACTATGTGGATGTAAGATGTTGTGTAGTTTAGCATTATTCTTTATTTATGCAGGTATACTTTCTATTTCCTTTATTTGTTATACTACCTCCGTCCCAAATTTTTAGTCCTTTAAGGTAGGTTTGTTCTAATACACCTAAAAGTCTGACATAACTCAAGAGTTGAGGTAAAAAATTGTTTATAAACACCCCCCTCCATCAACCAACTGAGATGCCTTTTTAAGAATAAAACAATGACTGTCCAACTAGTACTAAAGTAGACAATATCTCAAATGCAGTGACCCTAATGATGTCAGCTAACTTACACTTGGAACATTGGTCTAGGCCACCCTTGCTCCTTAGTCTTGACTAGAGGGCTTGTTTCGGTAATGAACACTAAAATGGACAATATCTTGGATACGATGATTCTAATGATGTTAGCAGACTTACTTTTGGAACAAGGTTAATACACATGAATTAATAAATATTTAATAGACTTCCAATGTGGGACTCACATTCCATACCTTACAAAATTAGATTTTAACATCCAATGATGCTCTGCAACCCTGTCATCCATGCGGGCTGGCTCTGCACTAGCTCTTTGATCAGTCTTGAGCAGACATGCCAATGCCGATGTTACTACCTGTATTGCTTGTTTGCATAGAGATTTGGTAGAAGGTTCTGATACCAATTGATAGACTCAACTGGTTTCAGATATAAAAAACAAGAAATTAGGGCAATGTAACCCAAGGATATTATTCAATGCACTGGCTAATATAAGCAGGAAGAGTACAACAACGTGTTTTGGGAGCACCTCTTCTCTCCTAAAACTTTTGATGGAGTTTATAACTAACTCAACTAAATGTTAACTTATCCTATTAATAGAGTTAAGTACATTTGAATTAATTCCATGTTCCAACCTTATTTTCCCTTTTTTACCTACACCTCCTAACTATTGGGCACCCATCATTCATGAAAGAATCTTTCACGGTGGAATAAAATAAAAATAAAAATCAGAAATTAAAAGGTAGAGAGTGAAAACAAAATTAAATATTTTCAGAAATATAAATTTCTTTCTTTTTTACTTTTATAAATAAAATTTTATTGGTTTATCAATTTAGTTTTTGTGAACAAGGAACATTTTGGACAAAGATGGACAACTGTCTCCTTGTTCTCTTCATTAACAATTGACATATTATTGTAGATCTTATGCATGCATGCTATCATTTCTAATTCATTTTTGTCCTCATTTTTATGGTTGATACTTTCATATAATTTGGTTAATTTTCAATGTACTATATTTTTTATTTTAAATAGTTATACTCTTTCTACCATCTGGTAAGTATTAAGGTTATTCATGAGGCACTAAGGTATTAAATTAATAGCTTAGTGCTACATATATTGAAGTCCCCATGCAGGTTTGCCTTTTCCATCTCTGTGCTTCATGAATGGGTACAAACTCATTTTATTTTGTTTTCAAATTTGTCTGTCTCTGATTTATGGCTGCAGTGTTTTATCATCTATAGATTGAAATTGTTGGGAGAGCTATGTCAGACACTGAGCTGTGTTTTAGGTTGTAGATTCAATGGTTGTGGAGAGGGCACGTGGTGAGTCACAAAGCACATCAGGGTCTCTTCAGTCTTTATGTTGGGGTTCTTCAGCCTTTGGTGGAATTGTGAGCTCCTACTTCAGTGGATCTTTGCTGGACTTATATGGAGTAAGGTACTGAAAGGAGTTTGTGAACCTAGATACTTTTGATTTCTGGTAGCAGTAATTTTTTTTTCTTTTTTATGTTCTTCTAATAAATATATGCTGTTCTAGGTTTGTTTTTGGCATCACAGCATTGCTTCCATTGATAACATCTGTAGTAGCTGTTCTTGTAAATGAACAACCTATGTTTGGTATAGCAAGAGGGCAAAATCTTTTTTCTGTTGGGCCAGAGTTTTTGGAAAGTTCAAAACGGAGCATTATTCAGCTGTGGGGTTCTGTGCGACAGCCTAGTGTTTTTCTTCCCACATTGTTTATTTTCTTGTGGCAATCGACTCCACAATCGGACTCTGCTATGTTCTACTTTACGTAAGTTCATTCTTTTTTTAACCATCTGAATTACAATGACGGCACTGGGGTTTAAATCTAGAACCATGTGCATACTACTTCAACTCTCCTGGTATTCTCTTCGCCTCACAGCATTTACTTCAATTTTTAACAGTGTCTTATCCATTTCAGCACAAATTCTCTTGGTTTTACCCCGGAGTTTTTGGGACGTGTCAAGCTTGTTACTTCAATTGCCTCTCTGCTTGGTGTTGGTATTTATAATGGATTTCTGAAGAATGTGCCTTTACGGAAAATATTTTTTGCTACTACCCTTTTAGGTTCAGCTCTTGGGATGACTCAGGTTAATTGTATCTTTCAGTTAAGTTTATATATTTTTAATTTGAGATGACTGTTCTAATCATCTTTTTGTTGTTTCTAACCTCTTTTTTTAGGTTTTCCTCATTACTGGACTAAACCGGAAGTTTGGCATTAGTGATGAGTGGTTTGCAATTGGTGATTCATTAATTCTCACTGTTTTGAGTCAGGTTATCACTGTCTTCTCTTACTCATTAGTTATATACTACTGTCTCTAGAAAACATACCATCTATGCTGTTGTTATTAATTGGGTTTTTTGTGTTTACCCAAAAAATGAGGTTTCTTGTATTTCATTTATCTTTCTCTATTCAAGCTTTAAGTCCATTTATGTTTTCTTCCATTGCAGTTAAAGTCTAATATCTTCTCACTGTAATGTTAAATTTTCAAGGTATATTCAAGTCTAGTATGGTTGGTACTTTTCTGTCACTGCCGTTAAAGTCAGTAGAATGTCTTTGTACGTTTTTGAAAATGTCATGTTATTATTATTTTTTTTGTTTTTTTTGATCTGTATGTTATTGCTTGTTTAAAATTAAAAAAAGCACAAGTAACTTCTAAAAGTAATTAAGAGGGCCTTTCAAAAACTAAAAGCACCAGCTGCTAGCAGTCTTCTAGAAGTAGCTGTTGAGGGATTCACTGTACACTTAAATTTTATGTTTGCATTTAACACTTAAATTGAACCGGTAGAAATTGGATCAGGAATGGAAGAAAAAGAGGATTTTTTCATTGATTGAGTGTATATCTATGAAGAATTCCTTGGATATTTGAGAGATCTAGACCTCTTATTAGTCCTTGGATATCTGAGTCCAGGATTCCAATTCTTCAATATACTCCTTTCCATGACTGAATGTGATTCACCAACATTTTCCTCCCTTCTCTGACCACTTTTTCTCCCTCTGATTCTTCTTTTGTTGCTGTTCTTGATTCTTTTCTGGGTCCATTCATTAGTTTTGGTTCTTCGCTGCCACCATGGTTCTTTTACTGGCTCTTGATCCTTGGAACTTCATCTTCACTTATGTTTTTGTCCTCCCATGAATCTTGAAGACAAACCCAAAGCTCTGGTTAGAAGCACTTATGCACAACCTTGTCAAATGTTAAAAAAATGTGGCATTTTGATTGCTCGTCTTCCAAGAAAACCACCAACTGAGAATGTCTCCTCTCAATGTCATTCAAACCCAAGATAGCTTCTCTTCCTCGTGCACTTTTGGAATCATTTTTCACAACCCGACAACAGCACGATTGGAGCTTCACTACCAGAGATATAACTAGTATCATAACAGTGAGAAGGAATTGATTTTTTATTGAATGGAACTACGGAGAATCCCCAAGCAAGTAATACACGATTCTAGATATTTAGAGAAGTGTGGATCCACCCACTCCTTATACTACCTTCTCAATTACAAAAGTCCCCTAAAGGCCTAAACTGTTTACAGTTATTCCTATCTATAGGCAGCTACTGATTTGCTAACATAAACCCACCCTTATGGGCCTAATAAGTTGTAGGCTCATTCCCCTTCTTTCTAATGCAAAACCCTTGAATTTCTTTGACTAACTAATTACTAACGTAACTACCTAATGCATATCTGAGTATATATATCAATACTCTCCCCCCTCGTCTTAAACATTCACGTTGTCCTCAAGGTGAATAGCAATGGCAGCTGCAATGAAAGTAGCATAGGGGTTCTAACCGGTTTAAGCATGAATAGGGGTTCCATAGGCCTCTCCCTAGTTCTAATGCTATTTCAACAAATGACTCCCTCTTATTATCTACTCCTTTTGCTATTTATAAGCAGTTGCTGGCCTGCTAACGCAAATCCACCCTTAATGAGAACTGTCTAACCTAATTAATTTTTAACATAACTAACTAATGCATATCGATCATTACAGTGGCAGGCCAATTCCCCTTCTTTCTAACATAACCCCTTGTATTTCTTTGGCTATCTAACCTAACTATCTACAACATGTTTGAGTTTGTGTTTTAAAAAATGTAACTGAAATTTCTCACTTTCCAAAGCAAAAATTAAGAAGCAAAGAGAGTCTTGCTTTAGATTGAATGGACGTTTAGAGGATTTTAACGCCAAAAGACACATGCATGGGTATCTATCATAAACATTCTTAGTTCTAAAGTTTACAAGCCACTCAAAAACCGGACCTGTCTGTGTAGACTGCTTGTTTATAGGTATACATGGTTTCCATGGATTTTGACGGCTCTAAGTGCTAAAAATATAATTGTTTCTTTTCTTCTTCCTTTTTGTGATCACAAAGGAATTCTTCAAACTGGGTTTGAGGATTCACACCTTTATGGAAAAGTAAATTTAAAGGCGGAATATATTTCTTCTTGTAGTTTTGATAAGTTAGATTTGATCTATTTTATGGCATACGACATAATTAAATGCCAATGCATTACCATGAAATAAGCTTTATCCACATGCACAACGTGGTTAACTTTGTTGTGCTTTGTTTCTACCATTCAACTGTTATTTGTTTGATTGAAATTTGTCTTGCATCTGATTACTAGTTTATTTCAGGCTTCTTTCATGCCCGTTCTCGTGCTAGCAGCAAGATTATGTCCTGAAGGAATGGAGGCAACTCTTTTCGCAACTCTCATGTCTGTATCTAATGGAGGAAGTGTTGTTGGGGGATTGTTTGGGGCGGGCTTGACTCAACTATTTGGAATTACCAAGGACAGATTTGATAACTTGGCAGCTTTGATAATACTTTGCAATCTTAGCTCATTATTGCCTCTTCCTCTTCTTGGCCTTCTCCCTGGGAATAATCCTGATGTGAATCCGGAGGACGATTCCGATATTGAGATGAAGTGTAATTGATTCTGGTTGTTTGTCCCTGACTTTTCTTGGATTTGTCTATATTTTCCAAGCTATACCCAAGTTTTGCTCTCAACAGACATCACTTACACACATGCAGACAGAACTTTTGTATATGTATATATATAGTATGATGCTAATGTTGCTACCATGGCCCTGTTTTTTTAAAATCTTGTTTTACCACGACATCAAAGTTCACTTAAAACTAAAACTGACTAATTTTGTGCAGAAAGAACCTTCTACACAATATGCTCCGGAGCGACTCGAGACATTGCTAACCATCAAACGACAAAGCACCAGCCCCGTCGAAACACACAACTATCATTCACGTTGTCCCTTTGTAGTGTACTTTCTCCTTTTTGATAAATCATGTTCCCTTTTACTTCTTTGTAAGAACTCGGGCTTTGTATTTTTTAGTCAATAATCGTCCTTCGACAATGGGATCCGAGCTATTGTCATTAGCAATGACCTAAATCAAACAACAGGTAACTTGTTTTTCTTGTTTCTTATCTCGTAGTAAAGGGAAGATTCACTGGGTGCTTGTACTGCACACGGTTTAGTAATTATGCCGGTTTCTTATGCTCGACATTCTTATCTATGGTAAAATGGGGATTTATGCTATTTCATATAATTCTAGATATAAAATCATTGTCTGTAATTGCCTAGCAACGGTCTTAAAGCTACAATTTAGGAGTTTTACTTTTGCAGTATTTTTAATGAAAAGCTAAATTTCAAAATAAGGAAGAGAGTGAGCTTATGTTTTATTTATGCTTCATGTCTAAATAGATCATAATGTGTTTAGTAAAAGTGGAAAAAGGAGAGGGGATCAAAAATGTACCGAGTGAAGGTGATAACATGGGCACGTGTATTTTTATTTTTAGACAACCTTTTAGATTAAGGATTTTTTTTTATAGTTCTGGTATTTCAGTTTATCCAATGCATATGTTAAATATGTTTATTATATATAACTAAAGATTTTAATAAACTATATATATATAAATAAAAAATTAAATTTAAATATATAAGTTGTGTTTAAAATTTGTATAAATATATACTTTAAAATGTCAATTATTTTAGATTTATGATAAAGAATTTATAATTTGTGGTAATGATTATTTTTAATAATTGATAATTTGATTTAAAATATTAAAATTTAATTATTAAATAAATAAATATTAAAAAAAATTGAATTAGATAAGTTAAAAAAAATTGTATGAATTTTAAAGTAGTTATTATGAAAGGTAATGAATTTATTATATACAATAATTTGTAAATAGTAATAAATTGTTTTTGGTTCATGGACATGATCTATATATGTAGTGTTCTAAAATAAATAATTAAAAACTAATTTATATTTATAAAAAGTGACTTTTTTAATTAAATATTATTTTAATACAGAAGACAAAATGTAATAAGTTTGTGATAAGTTTAAGAAGATATTAGTTGCTCATATTTTTATTATCTAGTTTTTAATCAAATGAAGACAAGTAAATTTTTTCAACTTTATAAATTAAGGCTATTTTCTATATAAGATTATTTAATATGAAAAAGAAGGTATACATGTAGGAGAAAGTGATATTAAGGATACAAAAACCTTATCATTTTATCTTTGACAATGACAGTAGCGGGCTGTGAGAAAAAAGAAAAAAGAAAAAAATCCATATTCATTGAATGTGAATGGTTTCCCCCTCACATTCTCGTTCTCATAAATATCTAAACTATCAATCAAATTAGTGGAATTGTGTACTTTCCATTTTTTTTCATGTTGTGTTCCTTCGTCATCCCTTATCAAAACAAATTATAATGATGTTTGAAACTTCTGGATGGAAAAAGATGAGATAAGGTAGAGAGCGAAGGAATGAAATGGAAGAGTTATGTAGTGAAATAGTGAATGACATGTTAAAATCAATAATGGTTTTGGCCCTCTCATTTGGAAAATAACAAAAAGGAAATTCGAGAGGGAACGAAGAAGCATCTCGTATTTTCTTTCTACAAATTTGTTTAAACTCGAGCAAACTATTTCCGGATCTCTCATTTTATTCAAACGCAATGCACAATGATTGAACTCTTGTATGTGATCCTGGTGTGGTATTATGTCTTTTCGCATAGAAAAGCAACCTAGCACCGAATTTCGTCATGAAACCAATAACATTGTAAAAGATTAATAAAGCTTTGAGAAGTATCTAAAACATTAATACGACAATCTCAATCCACTAGGAAGAAAGGGATATTATACCAATGCAGTTTCGGATATGGCGGCTTCACATGTGGCAGGTGGTGGATGTTACAGTCATTGTGCACATGGTGGGTCATATCGTGCTTTGTCACCATCTACTGTTTCTTAGTCATACACTTAATATTATTAAGTTGACACGTGGGGTCATACATCAAACCTTTGGAGCCACTATGGTCTGGTCCAAGGCACACACTGCACACGTATATGTGACTGACCAATGAATTCGATTCTTAAAAACAGGAATCAGTAATATGTGGACAGGGTTCCCCGGCAATGGGACTAATGTTCATGCTTGCTTGGCTCATATACCCTTCTTGCTTGAACCATTGACATAGATAATCATTATTGTTCATCAGCCAAAAATGAAACACAGGACATTGTTTATTTACCCTAAATCATACCTACGTATTTACCATGCATGCATGCTTAATTAAATAAGGAACTTGACTGTCGAGATTGATTCAAAATCAGTGATCTACTCTTTTTTATTTTTCTCAGTAAACAATATAAATGTATGTTTTATATATATGTTATATTCCTGTCATATGATCAAAAGGATCATAGTAGTAGTACCCTTCATAACTGAATAAATTTAATTAATTTCTCTGCACAATTAGTATCCTGTTGATGCGAAATGCCAAACCTTAGTAGCCGTATAAATCCGGAAGAAAGGGATATTATACCAATGCAGTTTCGGATATGGCGGCTTCACATGTGGCAGGTGGTGGATGTTACAGTCATTGTGCACATGGTGGGTCATATCGTGCTTTGTCACCATCTACTGTTTCTTAGTCATACACTTAATATTATTAAGTTGACACGTGGGGTCATACATCAAACCTTTGGAGCCACTATGGTCTGGTCCAAGGCACACACTGCACACGTATATGTGACTGACCAATGAATTCGATTCTTAAAAACAGGAATCAGTAATATGTGGACAGGGTTCCCCGGCAATGGGACTAATGTTCATGCTTGCTTGGCTCATATACCCTTCTTGCTTGAACCATTGACATAGATAATCATTATTGTTCATCAGCCAAAAATGAAACACAGGACATTGTTTATTTACCCTAAATCATACCTACGTATTTACCATGCATGCATGCTTAATTAAATAAGGAACTTGACTGTCGAGATTGATTCAAAATCAGTGATCTACTCTTTTTTATTTTTCTCAGTAAACAATATAAATGTATGTTTTATATATATGTTATATTCCTGTCATATGATCAAAAGGATCATAGTAGTAGTACCCTTCATAACTGAATAAATTTAATTAATTTCTCTGCACAATTAGTATCCTGTTGATGCGAAATGCCAAACCTTAGTAGCCGTATAAATCCCAACTGGGGCTTGCCAAGTGGATATATATATATATATATATGATATTTTCTACTTGGAATATGTTTGGATAAATTTTTACAAAAATACTTTTTAAAAAAATTGAATAAAAAGAAAAATTAAAATGAGTTTTTTTTTTTATAAATTAAAACCAGCTTATATAAAATTAAAAAAATAAAATGTTTGAAGAAATTAATAGGATAGAACTTTTACAAATTAGTTTATATATAAATTAATTTATTAAAAAAATTCATTTCATTTTTTTCTTCAATTTTTTTTCTCCTAAAAGTGCTTCCAAATAAATTTTCCAAACAGAACCTTACCAATGCAATGGTCCAAAATCCAAATCATTCTACACCACCAAATCAGAAGAAATAAATAATACTGCTAACTATGCAGAAGAATATCTTGTTTGATATATATCAATTGTTTTATCTTTCTACCATATATGTTAATAAATAATGAAACGCATAGAAGATGAACTTTGCTTGCGTTTATATATTTATGCACTTCTTGTTATCAACCATATAATAAAATTACTTAAATAGTTTGTTGCAGGCAGTTGTATTTATTCCTTTATTTGTTTTTCTTCTGTTGTTAGTTACAGAATTTTCTATTTCTATTTCTTGCTTCACTTATATGGGATTTTGGATGCAAAATGATTTGGTATTGCTAGTTGAGATTCTTTGCATATACTTCTTTAGGACAGAGTGGCTATCAACACCCAAAAAGCTTTCAGATAAGAGGGAGTCAAGTTGAAATCTAGCTGTTTTAAGTCCAAATGATCAATGTTGATATAATAACAAAAGCTCACGATTACCACAATAAAGTCCTCGTAGGTAGAAAGACAGACACCCCATTAGCAATTAAGAAAAGGAAAATGTTCAAACCACAGTTTCATCATCAATACAAGATCCTGAACATTTGTTTATTGTGATTTATTTATTGGCTGTATATAAGATATGCCCCACATAATAGACACACACACAGAGAAATCAATAATTCCTTAAATATCTTTGGATATGTTCTGAATTCGATGAAGCTATTGGTTCCATAAATCTATTTGTCAGTGAAAAGATTATGACAGCCAAGTTTTTTTTAATGCTTTTGGTTAATGTCAGGGATCATGTTTGTGCCATACAAAATTATGTGAAAGCGTCAAACTTATGGATGATCAAAAATAAAATCTTACAATAAAGAAAGAAGATAAATTAAATTAAAAAATTTGATCTATATTTTAGTCCTGAACAAAAAACTTATGAATAGGTTTCTATCTTTTTTTTTTTTCCGGAAGTTATGACAGTACTGAATTTAATCTCTATATTTCAAATTGTTTTTCATGTTAGCCTTTTCACAAAGAAATTTTACATTATATTTTGGTATTCATTTTAGTTTATGCACATGACGTTTTGTAAAACTAACACACTTTTACAACACTTGGGCAAATGGTAGGTTTACAATGTTTGCAAAATTGATTCAAGTTAGAATTGATTTTGTGTATGGATATTTTTACCTTGAAAGTAAGTTTGATACAAAATTTGTGTAATTTTTTCAACTAAACACAAACGCTACTTTATATCACTTCTCGTCAAATTGAGATTCGGAGGAAAATTGATTCTATCTAACAATAACCAAGCATGTATTTTCGGGAATGAATCATCTATAGTAATATTACTATTACATGAGGTCTTAATCATTCATTAAATTCTATCAATATATTATATTTTATTTAAAGTAGACGTTTTAAAAAATAAACAGTGAAATTGTAACACTTTACCCTCTTATGTTTTCATCGCACCGCAGAGTATCCCTTCCCATGTATTTTCACAAAAACCACCTTTTGTAGAAGGCAAAATAAATTTCACTACTTTACGCTGTAAAACCAAATACACACAAAAATGTAAAATAGTATGATGTATAGGAATTAAACCTAATATCGTTATATTTTTGGTAAATGTAACACTTTTGTCACGTGAAGACTAAAATGAAAAATAATATCTTATATATAAGAAACAAATAATATAATTTATTAATATTAAAACAA